CCTGCAGTCGCCAAGGCACGGAATGATGGTATGGACCGGAAGTTCCTGGAATATGAAGACCGATATTTTCTTCGTGGACCCCGGACTGAAAGTGAACGCTGACGGTTACATCGACCAACTCGAGGAGAATATCCTGCCTTCATGTCGTCGCCTGTACCATCTTGGAAACTTCGTACTGCTACAGGATTGGGTGCCAGCACATGGAATCGAAAAGGGGGGGGGGGGTTGGGAAAACTCTCGCCCACTTGCAATCGAAGGACATTGAGAACCTGAAGAGGACGGAATATCTAAGTGTGTCGCCTGACCTGAGCCCCTCAACCGGGTTCGGCGGAGCTCAACAGGGTGGTCTACAGTGGCGGAGAAATCAACGACCTCGCTGAACTCAGGCACCGAATCACGGTCGCGTGGCAGAATCTCTCGATGGCGTTCGTCCAGAAGGCTGTGGCGGAGTATCGTGATAGTGTACAATGTGTTGTTGAATATGATGGTGAAAATTTAATAAAGTGTAACTTATATCGACTTGAAAGTAGAGGAAGAAAAGCGCCTCTTTTGGCCTCACTGTATATGTCGAGCTGGAAATTCGAAAATTCGGACAAATTGAATCATCGTAACAGAAAGTTGTTTCTCCACATGCGGCAAGAATACAATCATCTGTTTGAGGGAATTTCGTTTGAAACACATTAGGTCTACATTTCGCGGGTCCATATTTTTTACGTCGCTGCGTTTGTGAATAGAAGTAAAAGACGAGTGCGTGGCGCGTTTCATAGAGGAGCTCATCAGCGACCTTTCTATCAGCAGGGGTAGAAGTGCACTGAAAGTCTTTCAGAGGTTTCTGGATGTAAATGAGAGCCGTATAGTTGGGTACCTTCTCACTGCAGTTGAAGCAAGGTTTAGGAGCAAAATCAGCAGCGGGCGAGTTTTTGATGCAGTAGAGCTGCAGCAGGATCTCTGCGCTCATGAGAGTTGGAGGAAACCCCTTTTGCTTTGAAGGCGGTTGAGGTTTCCCCTTTCTTTACGCTTGAACAGTTATGTCCATTAAAAGGTGGAAAACTCGCGTTTGGCAAAAATTTACCGTGTTACTTCTGGTGAAGCTATCATGCAAGCTAAGGTACAACTGTGAAGCTCTCATGCAAGCTAAGGTACAACTTCAAAGTATCGTATAGACCTTTCCCAGAAACCACAGCAGTCGCCGAACACTGGCGAAAAATCATTTTCGGATGATGTTATGGACTTTCCGAGAAGGGAGAACTCTGGAAGTTCAGTGAGCCATGCAGCTCTCCATCCTCTCGCGACGCAGGATTGGGCAGATATATTAACAGCCTGTAAGGGGGAGGGGTCATATAGACACTTCTTCTCGGAGGCGAGGTAGGAGGGAAAGTCGTAGCGTCAGGGGGTTTTCTGCGGAAGTGATGCATGAACCTTCTGTGCGAATGCAGCGGTCATCGCTCCATCGCACCCTTTGCTCAAGAATGAGAATGTTCCGCGTCAGGAAATTGGGCTCTCTCACTGCAACTACACTGGTGGAGGTTTTTGAAGAGGTGGAGAGGCACCTCTAAAAACCGCTGATGTCCGTTACATTATGTGGCGAGAAGGCAACGAGTGGAAACTGTTCGGTATCTGGCTATTCCTCTATATCTGATCCTATTGCTCTTTCAATCCGGGCTGGATACGCTTATCGCTCTCGCCGAATTTCAAACGGTCGTCCCTCACGTGGTCTCCCCCTATCGAATGAAGCAGTGCTGCCGCAGATTACCTGCGAAACAGATTCAATATGACTGGGTTCCATAGGATGGCGGCTCCCGCAAGTCACAGGAAGCTGACCGCAGAAAAAAAATTACAGTTTCTTGAAAAATTGCTCTCTGTTGACCTTTTTTAAACATTCACGAAAAATCAGTCTCCGCGTGACTACTGTGAGCGGACCCATTTGCAGCTTTCCTTTTGTGAACTGTCTCGAAAGGTACCCTTTAGTGTACAGAGTGGTGTTAAATTGTAGAAACAAAATAAATGTCACATAAATTGTGGTTTGAGCCCCTACAAAGGACTCTGCCACTGACTTACCCTCCAGAAAAATTGAGCTGGGAGCACTGCCTCTTTTTTTCTAGAATCGATTTTCATTTACAATATCTCGACATTGCTTTAGTGGCGATCCGGAGACGCGTTGGAAGCGGCCAGGAGGTTGACGGTGTTCAACTCACTCCATTCACTCTGCAGTGCTGCCTCCAAAAAATCTTGCTCTGGGTCAATTCCTGCGTCTATGGTTAGACTCGAGAATACTATAAAACATCCGGAAACAATATTTACTCAAATGTTATTTACACTAAAAACATAGAATGTACATCTGAAAAAGGGAAATTTCGATGATGATCGAACTAGATACTAGATTTGGTGCAGAAACTACTGATGTGATCACAAATAAGAGGACCATTTGTCTCGTTTATCCGGATCTCCATACTTCTCACACTGCCTTCTGATGTACTCCTCCGACACGGATTTCCTATCGTAAACCCAACCGATGGCGGCGAACATATCGATGAAAATGCACGTCCAGTTCAGCTTCAGCGAGTACTCTGAGGCGCGATAGTCCTTAATTTTGAGCACAGTTAATCATATCTTCTCAGATGAAAGAGCTCAAATAGTGCCAGAAGATACACCCTTATTATCGCGGAGCCTGACATTCCCGTGCAATCGCAGTGGTCCCATCAGGGCAGGAGACTGTAGAGCTTTGGTGACATGGGTAGAGCAGGTGTAACAGTTAGGAATACAATCAACAGAGCGCTACAATCTCGTTATCAGAATTCACATGGTGGTGTAAAGAACAAGAAATCGTCAGTTGTTGGGTTTCATTAATCCCTGTGTGGATTGCTGTAGTTCAACCAGGAAGCCCAGGGCACGCCATCGTTGTGATGATCACAAGGGGTCGTATTTGACCGCGAGGGAGGGGGGGTCGTATTTGGTCTGAGAAAATTTTTTTGGTAGTTGATTTCTCTTGTTTCACGGACGGTATAAAGGGGGGTCGTATTTGGCCGTTGTTGAAAGGGACTGCCAAAAATCTATACAACTACTTTTTCCGATAGTTTGAAATGATAATTAAATCCTGATGTCCCCCCCCCCGCTTGACAGCAAAATTTTGAAATCTTGAAAAAGTGGTAGGAGGTTGGGGAAAATCTGAGAAACTTTTTACAGGGGGTATATACCCCCCTCGACGGAAAATTCTTGGCTGAAAAACTGGAAATTTTTCGGGAAAAATGGAAAAAGTGGTAGGAAGTTGGGAAAATCTAGGAAAGTGGTAGGTAGCATGGGAGGGGGTCGTATTTGAGGATAGAATCAGGGGTCGTATTTTTCAGGAAATGATCACAACGCAATCACAACCTGAGGAAGCCTCGAAAGCTCTCCTAACGTTGGTGTCGTTCTGACAATCCACTACATTTAGCATAAGGATACAACCGGCAAGCCTTGCTCTTCTGCAATTGCCGAGCAGGGAACACCTTATACATATGCAGTATCCATGTTCTGCTAGCTGAGGATACAACGCGTCACGCGCTCTGTAGCCTTGTCCCGGCCTACTTATGAGTTGACCATTCTCTATTCCGACCCATTTCTGGGAGTTTTCAGGCTCCCTAGCAGTATAGAAAAATATTTTGGATTTCCACTTACCTGTGGGAAAGTGTGATGGAAATTATGACCGCCTTCACCAACTGCCGCTACAGAAGTCCATACGGATTCCACTGGGGTAATACGAGTGTCATAAGGTCTGTACCCAAACCTGAAGCAAATCCTTGATCGGTTTAAGTTCCTGAATAAGTAGTATTCCTGCTGAACTGTGAAAAGGAATTTCGGGAATGCTTTCCTAAATCTGCTCTTCTGATGGTGAGAGCAAACAACGCTTCTACTTATCATCATTTAAGAATAGGTTTCGACTTAGCAGCACATATTTTTTATCAGCGAAGGAGCACTGAACTGAGGAGAGGTCAATGATGTAGAGGATGGGGTGACGGCAAGAGCAAAAAGTGTTCCCGTGTCCCCCCCCCCCCCTCAAAGTAAACGTCCATAATTCATTCTGACGCTTCAATACGACATCAAATCCGCATGGTCTGACGTATACACAACCGGCACAGTCACGTAAAATATGTACCAGATGTGCTGAAAACCACCCCCGAGGGTAGTTTGATCCTCACTCCGAAGAAGAAATTGCATTTGTTTGGTACGATAGTCCGTTAGCTGGCGGCACCGGTGCCGAAACTTATATGTGAGCTTTTTCGATGCGATATTGGTGTTCGACAAGTTTGGAGGGTTTTCGCGTGGGGTAATTGTCAGGGAAATCTAAGCGAAAGTTTGGGACATCAATGCTTTCAAATAAAGAGGAATGTAAGGGTAAATTCCGATCAAAGCATAGTCAAGATTTCGAAGAGCGGAGCAGCAAATTGTAAGCAGTGCCAACTCATTTTATGACCGTCTGACCAATGGTTGATTTTTTTGGAAATGTTGTATTTTGAAAGGATAACGTACATGTGGGCGACACTATTGATGAACCAGGTGGCGTGAAGCAAGAAACAGTAGCGAAATAGAGAAGCCGTATAGAAAGCAACCAACGGCGATTCACCCCAAAATCGTACAGGAATTGCTGCAGGAAGCAAGAAGCACAACAGAATTACCATGGGAAGATAGTACCTAAAGTACTGATATTAATCAGACCGCAATAGTTGAACTGTCAGTTATTTGAACTTAAAGGCATACGGCACGATAATTTGGTACTAGGTCTAAACTGGATAGGGGTGCTATATAGTGGGGAAAATGGTGGTGGAAAAAAAGTGAAACGGTCAAAAACTGCGGAGAAAAGTCTTAGTTCTCAAAGACTTAAAGCAATTTCGGACGAGTTTCCCGTATGCATCTTGCCAATAACCGCTACTTTTTACGGCACGTGCATGTATGTACACTCGAAATCCCTGAGATGAGGTAGGCGTGGCTGCGTACTTCAACTAAACGTCGTGGTGGCTATGCTTTTGGAGAGATATTTTCATTTTGACCCAAATGTGGTCACGTCTCTGTCCAACAAAGAACAAGATGGCGGTTGTCTCAAATTGAAATATCCCACGAGTAACCAGTTCTGTGCCATGTTCGAATGCCACGCCTACCCCGTCTCAGGGATAAGGAGTATACTCATATATCCATGCAGCACCGCAGCCGCTTCATATCAATCCCTTCGCTTCATATTTTACTTAGCAAATGAAGCAATACGAGCATCAGGTACGGTCGTCCATTTGTGGGCGGGCGGGCGCGGTGGGCGTTTGGGTCGGTATGTTGCAGCTTGATAGGTTTTATAGGGGTACCTTTCTTGGAAAAGGCATCACGCAGCGTCTGCGCAGGGGCGCGGAATTCCGCCTTATCGAGTGTATTGATCA